AGGGGGGGGGGGAAATGGGGTGTGGGAGAGGAGGGACGGTTATGATCAGGGGAAACCGCCAAGCTATTACGAATATATAACACTTGGAAGGGGGGGGTCAGGATAAGGATTTGGGATGGGACGGTGGGGGGGAATAGTAGGGAAGAGGGCGTGTGTGTGGGGGAGAGGGGGGGGAGGAGGATCATTCCTAATACGCCTCACGTCCTCAGAGTTACGTGAACATGGATCGTAACTCTTGAGCCGTTCTGTAATATGAACGACCAACCTCGCCTAGAGATAACTCGCACAGGCAGACACCCACCCACACCAACATGCACACCACACCCACCCACACCACCCTCCACACCACACCCACCCACTCCACCCTCCACACCACACCCACCCACACCACCCTCCACACCACACCCACCCACACCACCCTCCACACCACACCCACCCACACCACCCTCCACACCACACCCACCCACTCCAACATGCACACCACACCCACCCACACCAACATGCACACCACACCCACCCACACCAACATGCACACCACACCCACCCACACCACCCTCCACACCACAGCCACCCACACCACCATCCACACCACAGCCACCCACACCACCCTCCACACCACAGCCACCCACACCAACACACACACACATTGGTGCCTCGCGGCCGAGAGGGCAGAATCCGGGATTCGCAGTCCACGGGTCCAAATTCGATTTCCCGTCGAGGCAGAAACAAATGGGCAGAATTTCTTTCACCTGATGGCTCTGTTCACCAAGCAATAAGTAGGTACCTAAGAGTAGCTGTTGCAGGCTAATGACAGCACTAACCTCACAAATAAAAATCTTTGAGAGAGTACTAAGAAGTAAGATCACAAAATACATGGAATCACAGCATCTCCATAACCCCGGACAACACGGTTTCAGAACAGGGCGCTCTTGCCTGTCACAGTTGCTGGACCACTATGACATGGCATTAGATGCCATGAATGACAAAACGCTGATGTAATTTACACAGATTTCGCAAAAGCCTTCGACAAATGTGACCATGGTGTTATTGCACACAAAATGCGTTCAGAAGCAATTTCTCAGGCTTGGTCTTAGTGTGGTCCTCTCAGACTTGGTCTTAGTGTGGTCCTCTCAGGCTTGGTCTTAGTGTGGTCCTCTCAGGCTTGGTCTTAGTGTGGTCCTCTCAGGCTTGGTCTTAGTGTGGTCCTCTCAGGCTTGGTCTTAGTGTGGTCCTCTCAGGCTTGGTCTTAGTGTGTGCATGTTGCGGATCCTTCCCCGCCTCTCACTTCTCCTCTTTAATACACCGTCCTCCTATACCTACTCCTATATTCCCAACTTCACCTCTTTTACTCTAGCGCCGTTATCCCTGTCTCCTTGTCCCAAACACTGCATGTACTTGCTCTCCCCCTCTGCTCTCTCCTCCTCCTTGCTCTCTCTTCCCTCTTGTGCCCCTCTCTCACCCTCTCTCATCTGGCACTCCAAGCCTGCCCCTTCCCCCTCACGCTCTGGCACTCCAAGCCTGCCCCTTCTCCCTCACGACCTGGCACTCCAAGCCTGCCCCTTCCCCCTCACGCTCTGGCACTCCAAGCCTGCCCCCTTCCCCCCTCACGATCTGGCACTCGGCGCTGACTCATGTACTGACCCTCACCATAATTTTCCCTCACATGGGCTGATTCATCCTCTCGCCCTCACAGGGGCCGCCTCGTCCTCCCTCACTCTCACACCTTGATGGCTCTTTTTGACTTAGTGAACCAAGGTCTGAAGACTTCAGTCTCAGAATATGTGATCCTGTTTGTTATTGGTCGACCACGGGAGAGGGGGGGCTGAAAGTCTTACATACAAGGTGAGAGGAGGGGTGAAAGTCTTACATACAAGGTGAGAGGAGGGGTGAAAGTCTTACATACAAGGTGAGAGGAGGGGTGAAAGTCTTACATACAAGGTGAGAGGAGGGGTGAAAGTCTTACATACAAGGTGAGAGGAGGGGTGAAAGTCTTACATACAAGGTGAGAGGAGGGGTGAAAGTCTTACATACAAGGTGAGAGGAGGGGTGAAAGTCTTACATACAAGGTGAGAGGAGGGGTGAAAGTCTTACATACAAGGTGAGAGGAGGGGTGAAAGTCTTACATACAAGGTGAGAGGAGGGGTGAAAGTCTTACATATAAGGTGAGAGGAGGGGTGAAAGTCTTACATATAAGGTGAGAGCAGGGGTGTAGGTCTTACATATAAGGTGAAAGGAGGGGTGAAAGTCTTACGTATAAGGTGAGAGGAGGGGTGAAAGTCTTACGTATAAGGTGAGAGGAGGGGTGAAAGTCTTACATATAAGGTGAGAGGAGGGGTGAAAGTCTTACATATAAGGTGAGAGGAGGGGTGAAAGTCTTACGTATAAGGTGAGAGGAGGGGGTGGGGGGAGGATAAGCCGTGTTCTGCCAGCGGAAATTGAATAGCTAAAGGAACAAAGCGGAGTTGTCAAGCAAGAAATCCTTTGAGAGAAAATGTTTACACTTTGAGGTAGGCGCCACGGATGACCAGGAGGGTGAAGGATGAGGGATGAGTGGTGAGGGATGAGGGGAGAGGGGTGGGGGTATCACGGTTACAAGGGGTAGGCACCTAGGCTACAAGGAATAGGTACCTGGGTTACAAGGAAGAGGTACCTAGGATAGAGAGAGAGCAGGTACGTAGGTTACTGAGAACAAGTACCAAATTACAGAGGGCACGTACCTAGGTTACAGGAAGCAGGTATATACGTTACAGGGAGCACGTACCTCGGCTACAAGGAGTAGGTACCTAAGTTACAGGGTGTAGGTACCTAGGTTACAGGGAGCAGATACCTAGGCTGCAGATATCTAGGTTATAGGGCTAGTTACCTAGAGTACAGGGAGCAGGTATTTAAGGTTACAGGGAGTAGATACCTAGGTTATTGGGCTAGTTACCTAGGATACAGGAAACAGATACATAGGTTAAAGGGGGGGAGGGGTATTCACCCAATTTGACTGATAAGAGTAATATTACCATAAGAGGTGGCAAGTGGCACCTGGAGGTGGCAGGTGAGGCAGGTAGGTGAGGCAGGCAGGTGAGGCAGGCAGGTGAGGCAGGCAGGTGAGGCAGGTAGGTGAGGCAGGTAGGTGAGGCAGGTAGGTGAGGCCTGGTTGATGACCCCCTGACCCCCAGCTGGTTGATGCCCCCCCCCCTCGCCGGGTGATTGATAACGGCACCACACATAGGATTTTTAGCTTTAATTTCATCCCGTTTTTACGGGGCAGTGGAGCGAAGAAAGACTGTAATGAGATGCCGGGGACGACCTGGCTGTAACCCTTGTACTCTGGCCACCTGTAACTCCTGTACTCTGGCCACCTGTAACAGCGGTCTTTGTCACCGGCAATATTGCATCATTATCGCTATTATCAAATGTTCAGGCGATCTATACACATATTTTTTTCAACATGAACATGAATCTTAATTTATTTATTCTGTGAATTACTGTTAAATACAACATAATATTTATACTGCGAGACATACTGACAAACATACAGCTTAAAATACCATTATACACTAGATACTACGTGGCTTAAGTATCAGATTATTTACATTATCTTGAGGTTATCTTGAGATGATTTCGGGGCTTTCAGTGTCCCCGCGGCCCGGTCCTCGACCAGGCCTCCACCCCCAGGAAGCAGCCCGTGACAGCTGACTAACACTCAGGTACCTATTTTACTGCTAGGTAACAGGGGCATAGGGTGAAAGAAACTCTGCCCATTGTTTCTCGCCGGCGCCTGGGATCGAACCCAGGACCACAGGATCGCAAGACCAGCGTGCTGTCCGCTCGGCCGACCGGCTCCCCCCCCACATTATACAAACTGTACAGGCACAAAAGTCAAAAAAAAAAAAAAAAACAACAATCATGAAACTACAATCATTTTTCAACAATTGTACCTAATGCCACCTGTTCTACGTCATCTGATTATTCAAGGACAGCCTGGATCAAGCTCACTATGAACACAGAGCTCATGTACCAGGCAGCTGAGTCTGACAGGATTTCGATTGCTTGTCAACACGCCATCTCTTTATGATAGCATTTCCCTAATAATATAGCGATCCAGCTGTTCTGTTGAACCCACCTTCCCTACTGACTAGTTTTGTTGTGTCTCCCGTAGACTTTCACCATTATATATATATATATATATATATATATATATATATATATATATATATATATATATATATATATATATATATATATATATATATATATATATATATATATATATATATATATATATATATATATATATATATATGAATGACAATGTCAGACTACGGAGAAAAAATTGAAACAGGAATTTCCTTAAGTACTTTCGTATATTAATACATCTTCTGACTCCTTCTGAAGATGTATTAATATACGAAAGTACTTAAGGAAATTCCTGTTTCAATTTTTCTCCGTGGTCTGACATTGTCATATATATATATATATATATATATATATATATATATATATATATATATATATATATATATATATATATATATATATATATATATATCACTAATTCACAAGCTGAATTTCTTTACAATCATGTTGATATTTCTGGCAATGTCTGAGTGCCAGTTGAAAAGAAAATGCCTCAAGAAACAATTGCCTGGCCTCGGGCGGGCCGGGCTTGGGAAGTAGAAGAACTCCCAGAACCCCACCAAGCAGGTATCAAGCAGGTAAAATAATCAGATGTCTGGATGGATTATGCCCTGGCGAGCAGAGATCATTTGTTTGTGAATGATTTCAGTAAAGATGTGAACATAAAGCCAGTGAGGAATGAAAGGCTGGACAACCTTAGCATGTACCTTACCTTGAGGTGCTTCCGGGGCTTAGCGTCCCCGCGGCCCGGTCGTCGACCAGAGAGTACATGTAGGCCATATACAGAATCCTACTTGCCAAGGTGGTGGCGGGTCCAGCGTTTACAACCACACTGCCACACTGAATGTAAAATTACTTTTAACCATAATTCGCTAAGTATGATATTTTGTCCGACTTTGAGGTTCTGGTACAATCCAGGTGCCCGGATGAGGTTCTGGTACAATCCAGGTGCCTGGATGAGGTTCTGGTACAATCCAGGTGCCTGGATGAGGTTCTGGTACAATCCAGGTGCCTGGATGAGGTTCTGGTACAATCCAGGTGCCCGGATGAGGTTCTGGTACAATCCAGGTGCCTGGATGAGGTTCTGGTACAATCCAGGTGCCCGGATGAGGTTCTGGTACAATCCAGGTGCCTTGATGAGGTTCTAGTACAATCCAGGTGCCCGGATGAGGTTCTGGTACAATCCAGGTGCCTGGATGAGGTTCTGGTACAATCCAGGTGCCTGGATGAGGTTCTGGTACAATCCAGGTGCCCGGATGAGGTTCTGGTACAATCCAGGTGCCTGGATGAGGTTCTGGTACAATCCAGGTGCCCGGATGAGGTTCTGGTACAATCCAGGTGCCTTGATGAGGTTCTAGTACAATCCAGGTGCCCGGATGAGGTTCTGGTACAATCCAGGTGCCCGGATGAGGTTCTGGTACAATCCAGGTACCTGGATGAGGTTCTGGTACAACCCAGGTGCCTTGATGAGGTTCTGGTACAATCCAGGTGCCCGGATGAGGTTCTGGTACAATCCAGGTGCCCGGATGAGGTTCTGGTACAATCCAGGTAACTGGATGAGGTTCTGGTACAATCCAGGTGCCTTGATGAGGTTCTGGTACAATCCAGGTGCCCGGATGAGGTTCTGGTACAATCCAGGTACCTGGATGAGGTTCTGGTACAACCCAGGTGCCTTGATGAGGTTCTGGTACAATCCAGGTGCCTGGATGAGTTTCTGGTACAATCCAGGTGCCTGGATGAGGTTCTGGTACAATCCAGGTGCCCGGATGAGGTTCTGGTACAATCCAGGTGCCCGGATGAGGTTCTGGTACAATCCAGGTGCCTGGATGAGGTTCTAGTACAATCCAGGTGCCCGGATGAGGTTCTGGTACAATCCAGGTGCCCGGATGAGGTTCTGGTACAATCCAAGTGCCTGGATGAGGTTCTGGTACAATCCAGGTGCCCGGATGAGGTTCTGGTACAATCCAGGTGCCTTGATGAGGTTCTAGTACAATCCAGGTGCCCGGATGAGGTTCTGGTACAATCCAGGTACAAGTACAAAGATTACGTGAACGTGTTCATACGACTCCAGTGACCTCATTCTCTGAACACCAGGTAAATTATTTAGCAGTGTTAGTGGCATTACTTGGTTAGTGGTGTTACTTGGTTAGTGGTGTTACTTGGTTAGTGGTGTTACTTGGTTAGTGGTATTACTTGGTTAGTGGTATTACTTGGTTAGTGGTATTAATACACCTGAAGCAGAATGGTTCTATCGCTCAACAGAACCACAGAACCTATACCTAGCCTATTCTTTGGCCAGAAAAGGAGCTTCCCAAGTCACATTCAGGTGTCGTGTGGGTGGGTGTAGCGCTCCTTCTCTTCGCCACGACAAGTACAATTCCAAGACCAATTACGGCAGATAACAGGATAATACGATGTTCACAATTAATGAAGCAGAAGAGAAAGACAGTGATACAGTGCAAGAAGGAAATTATGATTAAACCTCAAATTAGTGTACGAGGAATGTATCTTGAGGTTATCTTGAGATGATTTCGGGGCTTTAGTGTCCCAGCGGCCCGGTCCTCGACCAGGCCTCCACCCCCGGGAAGCAGCCCGTGACAGCTGACTAACACCCAGGTACCTATTTTACTGCTAGGTAACAGGGGCATAGGGTGAAAGAAACTCTGCCCAATGTTTCTCTCCGGCGCCCGGGATCGAACCCGGGACCACAGGATCACAAGTCCAGCGTGCTGTCCGCTCGGCCGACCGGCTCCCCAAGTGTGAATAGTGTGAATAACCTGAGTCATGAGAGTACCAGGAATACCACAGGCCAGTGAGGGAGGTCTGGTGTTGGGGGAAGTGAACTCTTCTCAGAAGATATATGACTAAGAGTGCTCCTTACTCAGGAGCACTCTCAGGACACTATACAAAAGAGGCACTGTCATTTGGCCGTCACAAACAGCCTGGCGACTCACTAATGTGACACGAGCTGACGCAGGGGAAAAAAACCCGTGATTTCATGTCTGGAAAAAGTAAAAGAATATTATGAAGAGTATTGTAGCGAGGATCCGGGAAGGAATCTTCGGTCTCTTAAGCCGATATTAAGCAGCTCGACAAACAAAAATGGTTTCAAATAATCTTATACAACGCAGATGAATTTTCTTCTTTTAGGCCTGCTTTTCAATACCCCTCCCCCCCTCTCTCTCTCTCTCTCACTCCCTTCCTCTCTCCTCCTCACTCTCTTATCACCATACATAAATGGTTCAATGTCTGTTATCCAGCGTCCTTAATGTATTGTTGATACGTGTTTGGTTCCAGAAGGAACCAAACCCGTACCAGAACCAAACCCGTACCAGAACCAAACCCGTACCAGAACCAAACCCGTACCAGAACCAAACCCGTACCAGAACCAAACCCGTAGGAACCAGAGGCGCCGTAGCAGTCGCTCCCTTCTTGGACGGTATCATTCATGCTCACCTGAGGTCGACACTACTTCTTCACTGTACACTGTAGTCTCAACACGTGGTGTTCACTGTATACTGCCAGGTGAAGGTTCACAGTGCTCATCCCCCAGGTGAGGAGCCACTATACATACCCCCCCCCCCCACCATGAGGTGAAGACCTACTCTACACCCAATCTTCACTATACACAACGCCTGTCATGTTTACGGGCTATTCATGCCCGTGCCATCTCTTGGGAGGTTTAATCTACATCAATCGTCAATCCTGTCATGTGTGCTGCCAAAGCCCCACTATTAATGTGTATCAAATAGAAATTACACAAGTTTAAAGTGACTTACGATGTCATGAATTTGTAAATGCGTTCCTTTGTCAAAATATATTTTCAATATATATCACAGTTTTTTTCCCCGATATCAATATTTGGCTAAAATATCTGACACCAATTCGGAGGATGGAATTGTTAAAATAACGGTATTTTTTCAAACTAATTAATAATATCAGACATTATAGGCTAGACCTATGTAGGTTAGGTTAGGTTAGGTTAGGTTAGGTTAGGTGTTTGGGCTTCTTGTATAGGGATAATGTACAAGTTACAGGTTTGATGTGAATGATGCACTCGGAGAGATATATTGGAACAAAAACACACCGGCAAAAGTACAAAAATATGGATAATGACGGCTGGGGGAACTGTATTATGTAATTATCGTGAACTTGACAATACTTTGTTTTGATAACAGGTTGCTATAATGTTGCTGTATTTACGGTGTAAACAGTGGAACAATTGCCGCAGGAACTCAGTGGTTCGGTACTACACGCGAGAGAACATTATGGATGAACAACCCAGCGGGTTTTCTTCCTATTGGGGAGTGTTGTACATGCTGCTATGGCGGTGTGTCCACTCACAGGATGAGTGGCGCTGCCCAATACTGTCACTATGGCGGTGTGTCCACTCACAGGATGAGTGGCGCTGCCCAATACTGTCACTATGGCGGTGTGTCCACTCACAGGATGAGTGGCGCTGTCCAATACTGTCACTATGGCGGTGTGTCCACTCACAGGATGGGTGGCGCTGCCCAATACTGTCACTATGGCGGTGTGTCCACTCACAGGATGAGTGGCGCTGCCCAATACTGTCACTATGGCGGTGTGTCCACTCACAGGATGAGTGGCGCTGCCCAATACTGTCACTATGGCGGTGTGTCCACTCACAGGATGAGTGGCGCTGCCCAATACTGTCACTATGGCGGTGTGTCCACTCACAGGATGAGTGACGCTGCCCAATACTGTCACTATGGCGGTGTGTCCACTCACAGGATGAGTGGCGCTGCCCAATACTGTCACTATGGCGGTGTGTCCACTCACAGGATGGGTGGCGCTGCCCAATACTGTCACTATGGCGGTGTGTCCACTCACAGGATGAGTGGCGCTGCCCAATACTGTCACTATGGCGGTGTGTCCACTCACAGGATGAGTGGCGCTGCCCAATACTGTCACTATGGCGGTGTGTCCACTCACAGGATGAGTGGCGCTGTCCAATACTGTCACTATGGCGGTGTGTCCACTCACAGGATGAGTGGTGCTGCCCAATACTGTCACTATGGCGGTGTGTCCACTCACAGGATGAGTGGCACTGCCCAATACTGTCACTATGGCTGTGTGTTCACTCACAGGATGAGTGGCGCTGCCCAATACTGCCACTATGGCGGTGTGTCCACTCACAGGATGAGTGACGCTGCCCAATACTGTCACTATGGCGGTGTGTCCACTTACAGGATGAGTGGCGCTGTCCAATACTGTCACTATGGCGGTGTGTCCACTCACGGGATGAGTGTCGCTGCCCAATACTGTCACTATGGCGGTGTGTCCACTCACAGGATGAGTGACGCTGCCCAATACTGTCAATATGGCGGTGTGTCCACTCACAGGATGAGTGACGCTGCCCAATACTGTCAGTATGGCGGTGTGTCCACTCACAGGATGAGTGGCACTGCCCAATACTGTCACTATGGCGGTGTGTCCACTCACAGGATGAGTGGCACTGCCCAATACTGTCACTATGGCGGTGTGTTCACTCACAGGATGAGTGGCGCTGCCCATTACTGTCACTATGGCGGTGTGTTCACTCACAGGATGAGTGGCGCTGCCCAATACTGTCACTATGGCGGTGTGTTCACTCACAGGATGAGTGACGCTGCCCAATACTGTCACTATGGCGGTGTGTTCACTCACAGGATGAGTGACGCTGCCCAATACTGTCACTATGGCGGTGTGTCCACTCACAGGATGAGTGGCGCTGCCCAATACTGTCACTATGGCGGTGTCCACTCACAAGATGAGTGGCGCTGCTCAATAGTCACTATGGCGGTGTGTCCACTCACAAGATGAGTGGCGCTGCCCAATACTGTCACTATGGCGGTGTGTCCACTCACAGGATGAGTGGCGCTGCCCAATACTGTCACTATGGCGGTGTCCACTCACAGGATGAGTGGCGCTGCCCAATACTGTCACTATGGCGGTGTGTCCACTCACAGGATGAGTGGCGCTGCCCAATACTGTCACTATGGCGGTGTGTCCACTCACAGGATGAGTGGCACTGCCCAATACTGTCACTATGGCGGTGTGTCCACTCACAGGATGAGTGGCGCTGCCCAATACTGTCACTATGGCGGTGTGTCCACTCACAGGATGAGTGGCGCTGCCCAATACTGTCACTATGGCGGTGTGTCCACTCACAGGATGAGTGGCACTGCCCAATACTGTCACTATGGCGGTGTGTCCACTCACAGGATGAGTGGCGCTGCCCAATACTGTCACTATGGCGGTGTGTCCACTCACAGGATGAGTGGCGCTGCCCAATACTGTCACTATGGCGGTGTGTCCACTCACAGGATGAGTGACGGTGCCCAATAAACTCGCCCCTCGGGGCAAAATTAAAAAAAAAATGGAATCAGTCGTTAAGATAGAATGTCATATATTTAGCAAATCAGTGACTAAACTGACATGTTATTCAGAAAATCAGTAGTTAGGTTGGCATGTCATATATTCAGTAAATCAGAGACTAAGCTGACATTCCTTCTCTACAATTCAGTAAGAAAACGACTTAATGTCAGTGTTTCAGATTTTCGTCAATCATCAGTTCAACTCGGCAGCAACAAACTTCAAGAGATCTGTTTGTACAAGCATTCTGTTATTCCCTCGCCTTGATGATACAATCGAATCATCACAATCAACTCGCTGATTGAGTGACATCGAGGTTCGTCTAGAAATGCAATTATGGGTCAGGTTAGCTTGTAAACGTGTTGGCTTTACGGCTTTATTGGAGAACAACTTGACACACAATTTTCCCTTTATGACTGACGTTCTGAACAATAACAAATGCTAAGATGAAGGGACGACGACGTTTCGGTCCGTCCTGGACCATTCTCAAGTCGATTGTCTTGTCACAATCCCAAGATTCTCGAGTCACAATCGACTTGAGAATGGTCCAGGACGGACCGAAACGTCGTCGTCCCTTCACCTTCTTGTGTGTGGTCTGGTCAACATACTTCAGCCACGTTATTGTGACTCATCGCCTGCAAATGGGAAGAACTTTGTCTTTCATACTGGAGAACAATAAATGGGAAAAACTTTACGTCTGGCCTACCAATGAACAACTAAGAAGAGCTTCACATCAGGAGTAATGAAGAACAACTAGTGAGAAGAACATACTGGTATGTGAACAATAATGTTCAATATAACTAATGTTACAGTTGTTGTTGTTGTTAAAGACTTGCTACCTGGAACAAAGTTCCAAGTAGCACGGGCTATGGTGAGCCCGTAGTGCCTTGTAATGTTACAGGAAACACTACAGAGCCGGTGTGAGGTTGTCGTCAAGGTGGTGACGACGCAGCTTCCTCCTAACTGGTTACCATGGAGGTGCATCATTGGTTACCATGGCAACCTCTCACACACACGGGGACACTCACCATCTCAAGAAGTCACTCCGACAACACCTCCATCCAGCATAGTCCCCCTTACGGTGGGGGACTGAGCAGTCACGCTTAGGGTGGGGGACTGGGCAGTCACGCTTAGGGTGGGGGACTGGGCAGTCACGCTTACGGTGGGGGACTGGGCAGTCACGCTTAGGGTGGGGGACTGGGCAGTCACGCTTAGGGTGGGGGACTGGGCAGTCACGCTTAGGGTGGGGGACTGGACAGTCACGCTTAGGGTGGGGGACTGGGCAGTCACGCTTAGGGTGGGGGACTGGGCAGTCACGCTTAGGGTGGGGGACGGGGAAGAACATATATAAGGATAGTGACCATATATAACGAACGAGGCATATTTTGTGACTAAAACATGTCGCTCTTTTTATCATGGCGCCGATTGAGAAGCTGGTGAAGCTTGGTGGAGTAGGAACCACCAAGACCTGTAAGGTCAACACAGCTGGTGGAGTAGGGACCACCAAGACCTGTAAGGTCAACACAGCTGGTGGAGTAGGGACCACCAAGCCCTGTAAGGACAACACAGCTGGTGGAGTAGGGACCACCAAGACCTGTATGGACCAAACAGCTGGTGGAGTAGGGTGAAGACCAACACAATCATATACAGGAACACAACTGGTGAGGATCCTTCACGTCTTAGGTTCCAAAACACTTCCCTTCCTACTCATTACAGCTGTAATGCCTCTAAGAAAGTGCCTCGGCCTCTCACAAGTTCTTCAGAGTTCCCTCTAGATTCTTCCCCTTCTTAAGCACATCTACTTCCTCGTTAAGCATTTGAAGCACTCCCAGCTCTCACTCAGCACTCCCAGCTCTCACTCAGTACTCCCAGCTCTCACTCAGCACTCCCAGCTCTCACTCAGCACTCCCAGCTCTCACTCAGCACTCCCAGCTCTCACTCAGCACTCCCAGCTCTCACTCAGCACTCCCAGCTCTCACTCAGCACTCCCAGCTCTCACTCAGCACTCCCAGCTCTCACTCAGCACTCCCACTCAGTTCCATGTCAGAATACCACCAGCCTCCCAGTGTAAT